GTTTTGCTGTGCTTAGGGCAAAGGTTGCATCTGCATGCTTGACACCCGGTCTTTTACTCGGCTTTGATTCGCGGCCACGGTGCTGGTGTTGGTGCTGGAAAACCACCAGTTTGGGGGGTTGACCACAATTTTTCACGACACTCCCACATGCTTTTTGTGGAGGTTCTTTGCTTTGCTTTTGGCCCCAAATGGTCCGGGGCCGCTTGGTTATCTTTCACACGAGGATTACCTCATCCAACCATGGAAACGGTTGGGGGCAGTGCCGAAACAATGCGATCAAGTGATTGCAATGATAAAACGTTTGCAATCCTGTACTTCAGAAGGGGCAACCGCTGGTGCTTGGCTCAGAAAGCAAATCATTGAACACAGGTCATACCCGTTCAACGATTTTCACATTCCTTTGTTTTCAACAAAGGCAATGCCTGCAGAGAAGCACCCGGCAATTTCAAAAAAGTGGGTTGCCCTGAAAGCGGTTGCCCTGGTTGCCCTCTTTTTGTCCCTGTCAACATAGGCCTTGAGGGAAGGATTCCATGTTGAACCCTGCGCGAAGCGAGCTGCGAGCTGCCCTCAGATCACGCCAAGTGCAATCAAGGAGCACCCACGAAGCTGTCCTGGGCGGGGAATCGGACAAACTCAGAAAGTGGGTCAAAGCTACCTGAAATTCCAACATACCTCCTTGTTGCGTGTTGCCTGTTCACCGGGGATAAAGGGCAGGCCCAAGTCTTGAGAGATGTGCCTTTTCAGTGGGCAACCAACTGAATAAACAAAGGGGAAAGGTGGAATAAAAGGATCCGACTGCCCGTGCGCCGGATCAACATACGGACTCCAACGACCTGTCTGAATGAGGGCTGTTCCCGGCCTTAGTTGCACATCGCATATGATCCCAAGCTCAAAGCGGATTGTTAGGCTTCGCTGGAGGTTTCGGCCGAGTCCTGATTGCTAAGTGGAAAAAGCCAAGTGAAGCTTCCAGGGACGCGGAAAAACATCGACGGATGTTTCAACTCAAAAAGAGAGCGCCTAGGCATTTGCACTGCGCGCTGTGCCTTTCTGAGATCCACGTGGATGGTTTAAAAGGGAACCCAAAGGAAAGCCACTCATTTTTGGGGTCCCACAATTCTAAGCCCTTATTTGTTTGCCTCAAAGTCGAGGGGCAAGTTCCCTTGATTATATGTTCTTTCCCGGATACCGGCTAAACACCAGGAACACGGGTAGTTGGTACAGATGTTAATGGTTGAACATAATGGACAAGGGATCAGCATCCAACACACTTGTGCTTGTTTTGGTAGTCATAGTCAGTAGGGGCCAAAGTGAAAAACCACAGCCAAGTCGAACTAGCTTTATCCTGAATGCGATTCTTCTTAACACAACCATCCCTCGGGTGATACATTGTTGGGTGATCCTAAATGGTTCTAAGTTCTGACAGAATGGTTCTAGTAGCATGATTGTTCTTTAGTGCAAGCTGGAACCTTCTTTGCTGCCTCCCATGCAACAAGTGTATTTGTGTGTGGGGCTTAGTGCGCAAAACACACACCTCCCAAAGGTTTTGATGCTCAAGATCCAACCAAATAGCAGCCAAGGCCAGTGCAACCTCTTGAACGACGCCCGACCGTCCGATCAACCGCTTTCTGCAGAGAGGCCAAGGTCTTGCCAGAGACTTGGCCTGACTGCATCTCGCGCTGGATGGCCTGCGACATCCGCCAAGGATTTGGCTCGGCGGAGGGCCCCAACAAGTCTTCCTGTCAGAAAACACCTAAGGTACGAGTGGAGCAACATGCCGCCAACACAATAGTTCCAGACATGAACATACCGCAGCCTGACAGGAATAGCCGCAGATCAGCAGCCAGCTTCCAGCAAGAGTTGCTTACGTTCGCTGGCATGCTGCAATGGTGGACATGCTTAGTGGAAAGAGCACGGCGCTCAACGTCTACTACGTAGCTTGAAAACGGACCAAGGCCTGCCAAGCTTGACATGAAAACGGACCAAGGCTACGAATGTGCGGCGGAGCCCATTTAAACAACATATCATGGGGCGTGTCCTAAACCGCCTCACCATTCTGAAACAGTTTTGCAAAGGGAATCAGAAGGAAGACGCCAAGACATACCTGGAGTCTCCTTCTGGCCCTTTAAAAATGGGGTCATGACCCCTTTATTTTGGCGAATGATCCCATTTTCTAAGGGTCATGGAGATTCCAGGTATTTAGAAACCGCTTCTTGACATTCGGACAGACTCCGTTGAAGCCCGGTACCCATCAGCCACAGGGTGCTCAGGTGCTCCACTCCCAACTTGGCCCGCATCAAGCCAAGAGTTGGCCAAGGAACCTATCCTTCAGGCCCAAGTTGTCTTTGGGTGTTTGCTTCATCGCAACGTCCAATCCGCCTCTCTACCGTTCATGGGCCTAGCTCCTTTTTCTTGGACCAGCATTCATTTGCCATGTGTCACGTTCGTTCCGCAAGCAACCGCTCCAAAGCAGGATGGGAAACACACGCCGAGACCGCGTCGTCCGCTTCTCCCAGTGCGCCATGCGGAAGTTTCGAGCGACGCCCCGCGCCTCGTCCAGAAAGACGGTGCCCGCTTGGGTGGACATGGAGTTGTACTTGGAGAAAGCTTCCCAGGCACTCAACGTGTAGGCCTGAAGGGCTGGTGAAGGGGTCTGATACAAGAAACATACGGAGGCTTCCTGAAGGGGAACAACAAAAAGAACCATGCTCCATAGGTTGCAAGCAAGCAGCCGTAATGTTGACCCTCTATTCATCAAACTCAGTTTGCTGATAGGGGGGTGTCCCGGGTTTAGTGCGGAATCATCGCTTTTGGAGGGGAACACCCCCTATTAATAAACTGGGGTTGATTGATAGGGGGTCAACATCAAGGTGCAAATGGCCTGTTGATTTAACTGGTTGAACCTTGTTGATTTCATCAAGCGCACTGACACACCTTCCGTGCCCGAGGCAAATGCCGGTTACCAAGGCCTGTCACAGCTCTAAATGGGCAAAATGACATGACCAGCGGAGCGACTATTCATTGGGTACGGCAAATGATGAGCATCCTGGATCCTGACAATGCCAGGAAAATCATAGTTGTCTCATCATCGACAACGTCCGGGATAACTGCAAACCGCTGTCCAACTTCTGTCCCAGACATGCCCACGCTCTTTTCTGCTATCTACGTGCGATAGATCTTTCAATTTGGGTCGGTAACGCAACAAATCCTTTAAAACAACTTGCTGGACGAACCGAGGTGCCCTAGGCTTCAACGGGAGACAAAGAAAAATCTGACGCGAGGATCAGGAGAACAACGAGTGCCGCGTGTTGACTCGCCTGACAATGCAGACTGGGCACGTGGAGAGAAGAAAAGAAAACGCGGCCCCATGTGCCCACGAGTGCTCCCAGTACCGACGAGGGTAGTCCCAAAGCTGATACCTGGGTGGCACCAAACTGAACACAGTGCAATCCATCTATGTTCAACTAAGGGCATCGATACGAAAAGGACAACCGTGACACCGACCAAGGCTTAAGTTTTCACCCCAAACATTGCGGCTTTCGGGTTGAACAACCCTTTCAAACGGCCATGAGTCACCACCATTTTTTGGGGAACAATGGCATCGCGCGGGTTCAAGGAGATGAAAAGCAATCCAAGTGAGCTTGGGACCCCCAGTTGGGATGTTCAACCAAACTCACCGGGTCACTTGCAATACAAATGGATGTCTTCGATCCCAAGAATGGTCGTCTTTCTCTTGGTGTACTACAAAAGAACCACATGGACAATCCCTGACGCCAGCTAGGGTCGTTTCATTTCCATACCTTGCACCACTCGACCCCATGCGCCGGATCTCGGATCTCGGATCTCCTCGGATTCCTCGCGCCTTGGGCATGACGCCCAGGAGGTAGGCCACCAGGAAGTGGCCCGCCTCATGGCAGGCCACCCGCTGCCCGTAGTCTGCGCTGACGGAGCGGCCCAAGGTGTCCAGCAGCAGCAGCTCACCTCGCAGCGGAGAAAACAAAAGAAGAAAACACGCGGAGGAAGACGAGCCGACCCGAGCGAGCTGAAAAAGGTGGGGGTTTCAGCTGACCCCCACCGACGATTCCATGGGTTTGTGCACAGACCCCTGTCGAAAGACGACTTTCCTTTTAGAAAGTTTGCGCACTTCCACGTTGGTTGGTGGGAGGGTACTTTTTGCGGGGTGAGGAGGTGGCCCTCTACCCCTTACCCCTTGCTGGTTTGGTGGTTTGGAGCCGGTTTGGATTGGTGAGGGAGTGGTTCCCATCATACCCTCTACAAGAAGCACAAAGTGGTTCACCTTGCCCCTGGGTGGTTTCGTGGTGTGGGGTTTGCACCTTAGGTACCGACCCGGTGGTTTGGTGGTTTGGTAGTTTGGACCAGGCCTTCCCCAGTTGGCACCTTCGAAGGGTTCAAATTCTTTAAACCACCAATCTAAACCACCATTTCAGGGTTACCTGGAACTAAAAAAGATATAACAGTCGACCAAGGAATATATGCCCAACCCCAACAAGAGAGGGACCTACTTGAACCCTTCCCGAAAGCCAGGATCCCCAAAGCCGGCGGCCACGCCGGCTGTCCCAGCGACAGCAAATCCACGGGCGAACAGCACGGCTTTGAGACAAAATGCGCAAGCAAGAAACCAACACGGCTAGGTCCTCGCGTAGAGAGGTTAGAATAAGGGTACCTCTTTTTTTTGTTTTCTCTTTTGCTCTATTTTAGTAGGGGAACCGAATCTGCCAACCAAAAAAGAAAGGGTGAGAAAGGGCACTGGGGGACCTAGATGGGGAGCACCCACAAAGGCATGGCTGTATACGTTTGTCGATTCCATTTGTTGGGTGCAAGCCACCAGGGGAAAGGCGACAAATATGAGAAACCAGCACGCAAATATGTGGTCAACGATGCCATAACGGAGATATATCCACAGGAAATTAGCCAACCACCCAGCAAAAACGTGGAGGGAATGGGAGGGAGGAGCAACACAAAGGGCGGCTGAGACGTTGAGAGACTGACATCCCGATGACTGCAGGAACACCTATAGCAAAGACCCGCCAAGTATCAGGGCCTGGGCCAACTTCCCATAGAGTTGAGAACTAGCTCATGTGGGGGTGATGTTGCTTTGGTGTCTCGCTAGTTTTTTTCATTTCTCGAGAAACCCATTGGTGGGCATCATCTACATGGGGACTTATGCCCATCAAACCTGTTTCTCCTTTCTTTTTCTTTTTTCTTTTGGGGGGGTCCCTATACAAAGTCATAGCCATGTCTAGAAATACTGCTGGTCCTGCAGGCTCATGCACATGTTCCTGACAACCTCTGGGCATGTGGTATTTAGGCTCTTGGCGAGAGTGACAACATGTGAGTCGCAATCAAAACCTGGTACTAAAATGGTCTACCCAGAACCATGTACAGGATTAAGAAGGCGGCCGCAGCTATTTATGGCTGGGATCGCCCCTTACTAACCTTCATCTACCCGGGTTTTGATTTGTGGCTCATGTAAAGGTTTGCACCCTTCCTCTGCTGCCCGCACTCTGGTGCATTCGATTTTGGTGCAAGACAAGCAGTGGGATCACCAAACGAATCCAATGCCGAATACAATCATAGGGGATCATGGGGCAAGCCGTCACACAACCACCCTGAAAGCCGGCAAACTTGAAACCGACATGTCCACTGGGAACCACAGCTGCGATTACTGGCCCACAACAGAACCTTGCTTGGCCTCCAATAGAGGGCCCAGTTGAAGGGCTTCACTAGGAGTCATGACCAACTTGGTATGTGTGCTGCATCCTTGCTCCCCCAATAATGAACCTAAGCAATGTCTTCTTGTAGCTGATTGAGAAAAACAGCTTGGCTCCGTGAGAGAAACAACTCCTTCGGGGTCCAGTCAACTTCTGCAGGTGTTTGTCAGCAAGCAGGTACCTGGACCAAGAATCAAGAGATGTCCACTTGTGTTCCGAGCACTCAACCAGCTTGCGCCTTCAACAAGGGTATGATATGTAGGTATCTACGGTTTCACCAGCTCCAAGGTTGCTGCTTGGTTTTTCAATCCAAACAACTGACAAAACAAGAGCTTGTGTCAGTCAATGAGTATGTGAGTGAGTCAGCGAGCGAGCCAGCCAGTCAGAGCCAGTCACAGCCAGTCAGAGCCAGTCAGAGCCAGTCAGAGCCAGTCAGAGCCAGTCAGTCAGTCAGTCAGTCAGTCAGTCAGTCATCCAGTCAGTCAGTCAGTCAATCAGTCACACACTCACAGAAGTCGTGAAGCCTCTCACTTGTGAAAGCACCCACCAGCAGGCCAACCAAAAAAAACACTCCCACGGAACAGTGATCACGTCTCCAATCCAGGCGCGTGCTAAGATTGCGGCCGAAGCCTTTGTTGAGAACCTGCGGAGCGAAACCGGCCGAGCCAAGGCATGGAGACTCAGTCCAAACATGTCCTCCAACTCCTTGAGTCATCCGCTCAAGGAGCACATGCGTGGACCGGTCCCAGCAAACATGGTGTTTCCCCTTCAAACCAACCCGAAAAGGGTACCCTCAAACAGGCCCAAGAAAACCCTTGCATTTGTCGGTCGACCTGCCTAAAGAGGCAGCTTCACTCTCTCCGTGCTCGAACTAATTGGACTCGTGCGTATTTGCCTTGCTTTTTGCCACACATGCAGGATCATTCCTGAAATCCCGCCTATGCCGAGCTCCTTTCATAAAACGAACGAAACGGTTTCCTCGTTGCAAAGATTGCAAACCAAGCAGCCATGAGGTTTGATACAAGTGCACTTTTTGCTTCCCTCTTTTACCATTCTTGGAATAGACTGCAAAGCTGCTGTCTGAGTCTCAATTACTTCTCGCCTGCGCAACAGAATATCTGACCTCTTGCAGCTTCCACGGAGAAAACCCGATCTAAGAGCAAACTTTGATTCGGTCACAGTATCTCACATTCCAAATCAATCAGTTGTTGTTTCTTTCAAGCTTGGTCATGAAAGAATCGTGATGAAAGACCAGCGACTGCTCAGAGCGCCTGGTCAAAGAAGAGTATTGTCAGCGAAACCAGCGTCGCCTGGGCTGAACCACAGGAGGCATCGCAGTGATTGACACCTCAAATCTTATCTGCCAGAGGGGCCTAGAAATCAAAGGTGGACATGTTTAAAGACCTTGACTCAAAAGGGGCGAATAAGGAGGAAAACACCAGAATGAAACAAAAGGGGGCGATTCGCCCGCTGCACACCACAAGTCACAGGGCTACACGGCAAAGTGTTACACAAAGCAACAAGGCTTAGACCAAAGCTGGTTTCCACTTAGTGACACATGCGGATGGATGCCAGCTCTGCTGTTGCTTAGCAAAGAACCCAGGGTCACCATTGAAGGAACCAACACATGCGGATGCAAGCTCTGCTTCTTAGCAAAGTAGGGTCATCATTGAAGGAACCATAGCGCCCAACCCACTGCAGGGCCGCGACAATGTTCCAGCGATCCATTTCGCACCCAGTGTCCCCATCGAGGCAGCATGATCGCCTAAATTCCAGTAGGCCACACAACTTGCACAAATCGACCTGATTTGAAGGGAAGCAAACCATCCGCATCCGCAGGGGTTTCATTCAGTTTAGCCGGTATGTCAGTGTTGCAAGAGAAACCTCCCGGAGCTGCGACGAACTGCCTACTTCATGTCCGACAAGTCATGTCCTTCCTACAAACAGCCGGCGACTGAACGCTCTAAGGACCGATCCTTCAAGTGCAACGAAACTATTTGTGGTTAGCATTGGTACATCACAAATGCCTCAATCAATATCTGTGGTAAGATTCGTTGCGATGTTGAGCATGAAAGGCAACACTTCCATCCGCCCTGTAGAGGCATCATGCCCCGTTCTGTCCACATATCTGCAAAACATGAAGTGTCTGCCGTGGACCATGCGGGAGTCGAGCTTCCAAACAAGCGAGCCCGACTCTAGTCAACAACAACATACAGTCTCGAATCAAACAAACCAACTCCGCTCTGCTCCAAACAAAATATCACTGGCAAGCTTCTGGCCATGTTCTGAATAGTTGGTAGCTGCAGACGAATCACTTTCATGTGTGAAAGTAGCTGGCTTCGCCCCAACATGGCAGTCCTTTTGGCTGCCATCTGTCACTGTTTACTGGTTGATTTCTGCTTCCCTGCTAAAAGTTTCACTTTTAGTAGTTTAAATGGAAACCCCCTTAGTTGGCAAACAGTCAAAGTCCTAACATCCCTTGGCAAAATGCACCATCTCTTTCCCAACCGAAACCGGGCACCCAAAGCGACAAAACATCGCAGCGACCGAAAAGCCTCCGCCAGGGTTCCATTTTTTGACAGCAAAGTGGACTTGACCCCATTTTTCAAGCGTCATGGAGACTTCAGGTACCTTGGGGCTGTCCAAATGGAGCCATGACCTCCCGCCGTTTTTCCTCCGAGCCGCGAAGACCACGAAGCCGGGCCCCGGCTTCGCGGCCAAGATGAAGGCGGCGCCACCCAGCGCCAGCACTGGCGAGACGAGCGCTGAGACGCGAGGAAAGGCGTGAGATGGGGGGTGTCACCATAGGCGTCCCTTTTAAGGGGAAATGAACAAAAAAAACATGACACACCCATAGGTGTTCTTTTGGTAGAAATTGGTGGAAAAGGAGGTGTGTCATATGTTTCTGGGCTGTCAGTTTTTCAGATCCCCCGCTGAAAGTGGCTAACTTTGAGTGGGCAAATGGAAAACCCAACCACAAAAAACGAAAAGGCTAAAATGCTTGGGGGATGGCCGGGAGCCACCAAGGTTTTGGGGAAATAGATGGATTTCCCTGCTAAATAAAATTCAACCACCAGGTAAACCAGGAATCGCCATCATTTGTTCTCAACCAATTTCTACCAAAAAGGACACGTATGGATGTGTCATGTTTTGGAACCGTTCTCATTCCCTCCTTCGCTACTGAGAAGGAGCAAGTTTTGTTGAAGCTACTCATTCTCTTCATTAAGACCTCCATTTGCGCTTTTAGGGCCCCCTGGAAAAAAGAAAAGTACGCCCAATAATGATAAATTCAACGGGGGAACGTAAAACATATTCATTTCAGCAAACGGAAGACGACGGCACCCGACCGTACCGAACAAAGAAAACTGATCTTCCACGCGGCCTCCCCCAAATGCTATGTTGGTGGGGGGGGGTACCCAATTTGGGGTTGCGAAACAATTAACTATCCACGTTGGGGTTCTGGCACCCACGTTTGGGACAAACCTACAGGGTCCTCTGCGAGTCATATGCAACAGGGGACACTGGATTTCCTTAAAGTGAAGATCAACCTTCTGGGTCTCAAACAAATATAAATTCACTAGTTTCTGGGTCACCCAAGTATCAAGGTCCGGACAAACCAGGCGAGTCTGTCTAATGGTCTATGTATCACGCATTGCCAAAGGCCAAAACATATACAAGAATAGACGAAACCAATGCGCCTGGTTACGGGGCAGCCTTGTTGGAGTGAAACGGTCGAGCAGCTTCCTGTGGAAATTGGTGCGAAGAAGAATAAAGGCGGTTCCGGTGGCAAGGAGTCTTTCAGCGTGGTAAATGGCAAGGCGGGTTCAAACAAAATCAATGTCCAACAAGCTACAGGCTGATTCGTGCCATTTGGCACCAAGCTCAACTGTGAGGAGAGTTTTTTTCCTTTCTCCTTCCACTCCATGGCAAAGGCAGCCGCATCCGTTTTTTCTCCAGGCCCTTGCACAACAAGTCCAAATCTATTTGGATAGCTGGAAAAGCATATTCCCATCATTGTGGCCTGAACCCTTTCCTGCAGTCTGCGAACTCAGCCGCCCTTCACGTGAGGCCTCACCCCCCCCCGAGCTGCGAGCTGCGAGCGCCTCCGGCCAGCACCGTCTTCACGAAGTCCAGGGTGCTATCCTGGGGATTCCTCAGAAAGCAGACAGCAACACGTGGCTGAAAAACCCACGTAGGCGGACCCATAAGTCCAAAACCCCTAAATTCATAAACCACTAAACCCCTAAACCCCTATGGCTGAAGAACCCGCGTAGGTGGCAATGCCATGAAGTGGAGCTGCCTTGTGACCCGGCAAAAAACTGTGACTATGAGTAGCAAACAAAGACAGTTGTTCTCGCTTGTGGCATGGCATGGAAACGGCCAACAAGCGTAAGAACAAATTGTGGCAGGGATAAACATCATTGCCATATCGACGTTGGCTGCCAATACTGCATCGCTATGCAATAAACCTTAATCGCAGTGGGAGGATGATTCGAATTGGGCCGCATCACGACGCACCTTATTTCTTTGCTTTTGCTCTCTCTTCTATTTGTACGGCCAGCCCCTGAGGTTTGCCTGCGCCCCGAACCAACGCCCCGACACAAAAACCCTAAACCTAAACCCTAAAAACCATAAATCTAAAGCCTAAACACCCTAAACCTCAACCCTAAAACCCTAAGCCTAACCCTAAACCCAAACCCTAAAAACCCTAAACCTAAACCCTAAAAACCCTAAACCTAAACCCTAAAACCCTAAACCGAAACCCTAAAAAGACCCAAACCTGCTTGCAGAAACCTAAGCCCTGAAAACCCTAAACCTAAACCCTCCACCCTAAACCTAAACCCTAAAAACCCGCAGACCTGCCTGCTACCCACGCCTCGTGGTACCACGGCCCCACGTTCTGAAGAGAACGCAGGTCACCACGTGTCAGGTATGGCTGCACGAGTTGTGCTACTTGAGTAGTAAAGGGTGCCATACTTGAACCACGTGCTGGACAAGGGTGGATTAGGGGGTGCCGGCAAACCACGGGGGCTGTGGGTATTTGTAGCTGGCATGCTTTGACCATTGATTTTTTGTCAGCTGCGTTTCTCAACCTGTCCTTAACATTGGTACGCTTACTCAGCACCGAGTAAAGTTATTGCATTTCTTCTCTGTCTGAATGTGTGTGTTAAGCACAAGTGCAAGTGTTAGTGGTAGTGATCATGCTGTTGGTAGTATTCCTGTTTGTGCTTATTCATGTGTGTGTGGCTATGAATGCAAGTTACAGTCAGTTGGCAAATGCTGTGGTTGGCCAACATTTCAAGATGCTGAAGATATTCTGAGGTTGTCAGGCCTTCCAAGGTGCCATACTGACTTGTCAGGTCAAACAACCATCTTGAGAAACACATGCCCTGCATAATCAGCAATATATGGCATATTTGTTTGGTGGCCAGCAATTGTTCGATGGCACGTTGTTTGCAGACTCATAACAAACACACAAACACACACACACACACACACACACACACACACACACACACACACACACACACACACACACACACACACACACACACACACACACACACACACACACACACACACCTACGCACACACACACACACCTACACACACCTACACACACACACACACACACACACACACACACACACACACACACACACACACACACACACACACACACACACACACACACACACACACACACACACACACACACACACACACACACACACACACACACACACACACACACACACACGAACGCACGAAATTGTTCAGATTCACAAAGCGCTGCCAGACAATGCTTCGTATTAAGCCGTTGATTTCCCTGAGCAAAAAGGAGTCTGCATGCCTTCACTTGAGAGGCTATAAGTAATACTCGGAAAAGACCTGCCTGCTTTCCAGGTCGGTCAAACGGCAAACTGTGGATGTCTAGCAGGTTTTGCTTGCACCCGCCAGTGTGTCCTACTGTGAATCACAAGCCCAACCAACCGACCCACCAGCCAATTTAACCACGCCACCGACCGACCAACCAGGCAACCACCCAGCCAGCCAACCAACCCACTTGGGCACAAAGAAACGACATCTTTCTGCGAGGAGCAGAAATTGGGTGGCATCCACGCCGTTGTCCTTCATTTCCTTGGCCGAAATCCCATCCGTGAAGGGCACCAATGGGAGTACGTGTGTTTTTCTTCTTCAAAAAAAACACGGAGGAAAGAAACAAAAACCAAAAACAACTCCAAACGACATGGAAGAAATCACTTGAGTGCTTCGCGAGCATGGAAGCGTCCCTCGAACTCAACCGATCTGAATCACCAAGTGAAAGGGGTTCACCAACCGCAACAGAAGGCTCCTGGACCCTCAAACTTCCTCTAAAACAGAAATTCCGGCCCATTATTGGGGCAATAACACATGTTCACAGGTCATTTGAGGGTCCATGTTGAAAAATATGACTTCACAAACCCCATGGGGTCAAAGTCAGTCAGCTGAAAAGACAGATCCCTTGGCTTGGTTGCTGACCCCGAACCCAAAAGCTTCACTTTCTGCGGGTTCAAGGGAAAACCCAAACGATTTCCCAAACGTCTACAGATCCAACCCACTAGCAATCAAATTGGCTCAACCATCTGACAGTTGCGCCCCATTTCAGGCTCAAATGCAGTACAAATCCCTGTCTAGTCTGGCCAGCTCCGAAGGACATCCCAGATTAGAAACAAAGATAGCATGCCAAGATGCAGTGCATGAGTGTTTGTTGTTGAGTTGTTTTGCCGTTTCACGACTTGCACAGTTTTCAATGCGATTCAACCGTGAAAGGGACAAGCAGCCATCGTCGGAAAATCGCGGCAGATCACGAAAGGGCAAGGCTTCATGACCTGTCAACGTACTCCCCTGCTAGCATCAGCCGCTCTTCCCGGGGCATTCTAGGTTCCAGGAGTCCGTCAATGTAACACCGCCGCGAAAAGCATCATGGCTGCCACTAAAATAACAGTTGATACAACAAAACAACGGGCAACAAGGCGAGCGGCCGCGCTCGCCACATAGCGTGAGAATTGCGAGAGAGTTGTTCCCCAGCCCCAGCTATGAATGGTCTGCTGGGCAACCTTTCCCTTTTTTGTACAAGTGGAATGCATCTCCTCCATCCTTGTTGGGTTTGGGAAGCTGACTAGCACACAGTAAATGCCCCACACAGTCGATGCCCATCTTTTTGCCGCCCTCTTCCAGAGTCGTTCTCGTTTGACACTCGCTTTAACGCGCCCAACGGGCTACACTCTCGCCAAGAGACTTGCAAGCTGTAGGACCGCTTGGCCGCCTGGGAGACGAAAACCGAGGACAAACCAGCAGGCATTACAGGGACTGAAAAACAAAAAACACGCCCCTAGTTTTCAGGCGCCTGCAATGTCAGTTTGGGCGGTTGCCCGCAATGCGGATGGAAGGTGACTCTTGCAAACAAATGAAAGGAGAAAAAGGGAAGATAGAGATGAAAAAGAGGAAGCAGGAGGAACAAAAATAGGAGAGACAGAGACAGACAGAGAGAGGGAGAGATCTAAGACCGAAAACAAAGAGAGAGAGGTAGAAGAGAGAGCGGGGGAGTGCATGTGCCAAACACAAACAACTGCTGCTTGCATGCAGGTGCCCAGGTATGTTTTTTAAGCGGTGGGCGTCCGCACGCTCATACGTGAAACAACCAAAGGAGATATCGTCAGTTCTCAGCATTTACCATGCTTACACGGGCTAGCATCGTCTTGGTAAAGATAGGCCTTCCGCTCGGCCGTGCCAAAGAAGCGGAGAGGGCCTCCTCGCAGCTCCGACAACCTTAGGTCGCACACACAGGCACACAACACACGCACGTGAGCCGTCGTTCACCACGTGACTGCTGGACTTGAGCCTGTGCTTCAAGTCAATGTGAAATGGAAATAAATTGGGGTTGTGGGGTGCTACCAAACCAAATTACCTGAGCATGGGGGACTGCCTGTGCTTTTTTGTTCGTTTGTCATACGGCTGTGCTCGCTCAGGGTGTGTGACGTGCAGAGCGGCGCGAGTCTTGCTACGGAGGCGTGTGGCAAGAACTTTTGTAACATGGGTCGGTAACAGGAACATGGGGGGGGGGCTTGTCACGTAGGCTTGCCCCAAGAAGACGTGTTTAATTCTAAAGCCAAATTTCTGGCAGGGCAGACAAAACTATGGCGAGCAAGGGCTGGAGCGTAGCGAGGCAGCCTGGCATTTTCTGTCAAGCTGCCGACGCAACCTCACCACTTGCATCAGACGTAGCTTGAGCAAAACTAAGTGCACACAATGGAAAAGTGCGCAATTCAAGCAACACATGCGCAAAGTTCCAAGAACTGCGCGAGGCGTTTTTTGGCTTGTTTGGGTAAGGGACCTGGATGTACATAGCCTTGACAGCAACCTGCAAGCTGTTCAAAAACAACTAGGACGAGGATAAATGCGCGCCTTGTCGACCAGAACTCGCCGGAATGATTCAAGGAACCAACGTGCATTTTGGTGCCAGTTGGTCGTTGTCGGGCTGAGCCTTGCACATTGACAAGCCTGCTTGATGGACGATTTTGGAACTCCAAGACTTCACCTTGAAAGGGATCAGCGCAGCTGCAACTCAAATCGAGCGCTGCGGGACATCTTCTGCCTAAAACGGTCTGAAGCGCGCCACGCATGTGCACACTCTTCGTAGCGATGGTACTGGACATTTGCGAGCAAATTGAGGCGTGGCAGGGCGCCGAAAAAACAATTTAAATTGCTACCTGACAGCGACTTGGTCCGACGTGGTTTCACACAAGCTGTGGCGCAGGCAGGGTCCTAGAGCACATGGCGGATCCGTGCATACCCAGGCAACACGTGCTGGCTTGAAGTTATTGATGTGCTCATGAAGCGGGTTGCAACAACAGCTGCCACAAAGTGTTCAATCCATAGGTGGTATGGCGTCGGGTGCCACGTGTGCAGCAAAATGCTTGCTTAAACCAGTCCTGGATTGAGATAAAAGAAGTAGTTAGGATGTGTGCGCGTAAGATACGTCAACAAACAGCTGCGCCGGAGCGGGGGACGAGTAGCGCAGCATCCTTGTTTCCACAAGCAGTACCGAATTCGCTGCCTGTGTAGTTTCCTCCGAAAAGCGTGCAAATCACTCAGAAAAGTGCCTGAAAGTCCCCAACAAAGCGAACAAGCATTGGAGCAGGCAAAATGCACAAACGAAGCTAGAGGTGCATTCGCTCACCTAACACTTCCAGGAGTCCGCAACTCGTCTCAGAACCTTTGGCGTGCTCCCGGGCAGCCAGGCGCCCTCGTCGCTCCTTTCCTTCATGATGCGTCTTCGCGATCTCGGTTGGAAGGCCTATAGCACGAGCGTTGGCCCGAACACGCGAAATAAGAGCCGGTGTGGTCTCGCAAGGTGTTGGGGCATGCAAAACGGCGATCCTTGGACATGGTCAGAGCAGCTTGTCTGCAAGGGCAAGGCCCATTGCAAGCCGAACGAATCATCATTGCAACCCTCGCCCTTGCGTTCGGCCTAGTAGTTGGACAAACCTGCTCAGCGTATGTTTCCAGCCAAAAACGCCACGGTGGCCACAAAAGCATAGGCTTGGTAGCGGGGGCAGGCCTTGCAACTGTTGGGGATCCTGCGTCCATTCTCCAAGCTGTGGCACGCTGGCGCTGGGCCGGCGGATTGGAGCCTATGATTTTCGAAAGGCGTCCGACAAGGTCTGGAGACATAACGTCGGCCTCTGCCTGCTGGGGCAAGTAGTGGAAGCGGGGCCGCTTCAGCACAATTATCTTTGCGTAGCACGCAGATCCCAAGCGTAGAGACGCTCAAGCGGCTCGTAGCCCAGAACCAAGTTTGTTCTGGGAAATAATCTACCAGAACCAAGTTTGTTCATACGAAAGACCGACAGGCAGTTCGGATATCAATTCCTCCACAAGTTCCCGCATGGTGCTGTCTCATCACCACATGGAATCTTGTTCCCAAATGAGTCCGAATGATCAATGGAGTTAAGAACCAAACCTGCCCCTGGGCTTCCCTCGTCTCCGTTATACACAGTCGTCCTCTCCTCACATATTTGTCTCTTTTTTGTCGTCTACGCACATATTTTTGCACCGGCTGCTTTTGGCAGGACATACAACATTTTGAATACAATATTTTCGGGCCTCCTCACGCTTTGTTGCACAATGATGGTTAGATCCATAGATGCAAGCACAAAGGGCCCTTACGAACTTAGATGTTGATCCAAGCCCAGGTGTTCATTTGTCTCCGTTATACTGGATCGACCCCTCTATACATCCTCGCCCTTTGTTCTTAGCATCGCCGCGATTTTTTCATGGTCACGACTTTGGTCATTTTTGGCCGGTCAAGCGGATGGTTTGGCTGGTTTCGCTTGAAACTAAAGAGCGCAAGAAAGGCCCGTCATGAAGTCACTCTTAGCCCTGTTTAGCACCCAAATTACCCGATATCTCCATTATGTGGTTTCAAGCATTCCTTACACCCTTGCACTTTTCATCGCAGCGTCGTCGTTGTGTTGTAGTTGGGTGCTTAGCTCACCGTGGCATCACCTTGTCATGCCCTGATCTCGCTTGGGTGGTGGCCACCGTTCAACATCTACTCTGCTCCATACCGTTTTGAACCTCATGTTGTGTAATGTGGCCCTGTCTCACAATTTTCTTGGCCGGTTTCAGGCGCAAAGGCGACCTCCGGAGTTATGAGAGCCCGCGTGCAGGCATTCTCGCACAAACCACATACCTGGACCTTCTGAAAGTACACTTTTTGCCGATTGGTGTTTGAGCTCATTTAGAGAAATGACACCAATTCAAGCAAATGCTGCCGATTCAAGCAACAAAAACGCCGATTGCAAATCATAGCTGCTCAGCCCAGGCACGTTTGCGTTGCACATTCGCGGCTCTTGGGCTGTGTGCTCTCTCAATGTCCAGACTCTGCACTGCGCACACATACCGTGTAACACCATATTGTTTGCCCCATGTTTGATAAAGCTGACTCGAGGCGCTTGAGTATCGACCGCACAATTAGTTAAATGCACGCCTGGAATGCAAACCCTGCGGCTGCAGGGTGCCATAGAAGCAGCATTGGCAGCATAATCCACTGCATACACGGCACCATAGCAAAAGCAGTAGCAACACAATATTACGCAGAGTGCATGCATGCAGCTCCACTCAGCATGTTCGCCTCGGAACCCATACCCCTTCTCGTACATGCAGCGCAAAACTATAAAGTGTTGCAGTTGGGGCCCAGTTCAAGCCGTGAGCCCTGCCTTGCACTATCACTCATGATGTAAAGTCCATTGCACGAGCTCCATGTCCAAAGAAGCCTTTACTTGGGCATATCTTGCCTTGCAGCTCTTGGGCGGAATTTAATTTGGATTCCCAAATCACAGATAAGGCCCGTCCTCAAAAGCGCGCACCGACGACTTCAAATATGGGTCCGGAACACATCGCTGATTGGCCGGAAAAGATTGCCGACTGGCTGGAAAAGATCGGCGACAGGCTGGTGAAAATTGCCGAATCGTTTTTTGCTCTTTCCGTTGCTTTTGCTTGGGTGCCCGCCAATGAATTTTCAGAGCATGCAAGCGAGCTTTGCAGCCCTCGATTTCTGCGTTTCCTGAAGGTGGCATGCAGTGCTTCGGGCTCAGACTTTGCTGTGAAGTCTAATTGGAAGCGGACCTTCAGATCCGATATGTCCGCGGCTGATAAGTGATTGATCAACAAAACCCATCAACATCCTGGATGTTATGAGCAGCCAACGACACTTATTGCAAAGAAGGTCGGTTCACACAGGATGTTCAAAAGGCAAAAGCGGAAATGGCGTCTTACCTGAAGATCGCATGGCTTTTGTCAAGCAAATTGAATTCCTAGCAATGCCAGCAGCCAATTGTGCCTGTCTGGCCATTCGAACCCTGTCCAATGCTTGTCGTGCATGCTGCGCAGCGCTCTGTTGAAGCTGAGAGTATCTCCGTATTGGGGAGTGCGTTGCGCAAAAAATTTGTGGCACGAGGCAACATGGACTGCAAAGATGTACTGTGGCACTTGGCCCTCTTTTGCGGAACAAGTGGCTGCGCGATGCGAGCTGTAAGTCCAACGCAAATTCAGGAAAAGTGCCCACAAAGAGCGAGTTGAAAGCAGCGGTGCCATAAAGCCACAAAGTTCGATGACATGTTGCAAGTAACAAAAATGCCGCTCAGCCTCAAGACCCGTCGATTTACGAAAATCACGTATGCTTTTGTGAAACAGCTACAAATCGACCCCCCCCCCCCCCCCCCCGAAATCTCCGGGTATCATGAAGCTGCGCGCAAGCCTCAAC